TTTTTTATATTTAAAATGAGATGTTTATCCTGTATTTGATTGTGTTTATCTGCAGTTAGTTACACGAATTCAGATATGGAGCTTTAATAAGTTGTACCTACGCACAATTAACTTGTAATCTTGAGTTTTAAGTAATATGTATTAATAAACAGTACTTTACGCATATAAAATGGTTTTTAAGAGTTTTTGTCAAATGATTTATAATATAGAATATATATATTTTATATATAATTTAATTTAAGTTTAATAATAAAACATTTTATTTTTGGTTTAATATTATAAATTTTATAAAAATAATAATTAAGTATTCTGTTAGAATTTAATGATTATACTTATTATATTTTAGATTTTTTATATTTAAAATGAGATGTTTATCCTTTATTTGATTGTGTTTATCTGCAGTTAGTTACACGAATTCAGATATGAGATGAAATCGGATAGGGATAAAATCGTTTATGGATAAACGGGTTTAAGAGTTTTAAGAGTTTTTAAGAGTTTTAAGAGATTTAAGAGTTTTAGCCAAATGCTTTATAAGATAGTATAGATAGTATAGATATATATATATATGGTTGTGTTTACGTGAAACAAAGTTGTTTCCGTGAAATACGTGAGACACGATTTTTACATTCGAAACTTCACAACATTTTACAAAAACCCGAATCTTCACAACAAAAATATTATAAAGGTTATCTTCACAGTGTTTTGCTGTGAAGTTTCAAGTGTAAAAATCGTGTCTCATGAAAACAACTTTGTCTCTCTCTCTCTCTCTCTCTCATACACACACACACTCTTACACGAAATATTGCAAATTTGTAATAAATAATATTATATTTCAAATGTAATATATATATATATATATATATATATATATATTACATTTGAAATATAATATTATTTATTACAAATTTGCAATATTTCGTATAAGAGGATGTTTGTTTACCTTTTAATAGTTCTATTAAGAGACAACCCCTGAATCACTAAAAGATAAATCTTATTTGACAGTTTTTTTTGTCTTTTAATAATTCTAAAATTTTCTGAATGATTCTGTATTCTATCTCTCATAACCATTCAGTATTCTAACTTCATTGTAAATAATTATCCAAAAATTATATTTAATTTTATACTATATTATAAAAATCAATTAATTATTTTAACCACTCAATTATTATATACCAAACAATTCAACAACTATCAAACAAATCTTCACGTTAAAAACGTCCAATGATATGATTTTGATCGGTGTGAGATAAGATAGGGAGAGAAAGAGAGAGATGGTCCGTAATGGCGTATTGGGATGCATGACAACGACGTCGTTTCAGGTATGGCGCCAGCTACCCCCACCCAAGTCCCCCAATTCATCGTTCAAATCGCTCCAGATTCTCTCTTTGTGCAACTAGTCTCGCTACTGCTACTACTACTACTCTCTACGCTTTTGCAGCACAGTCTCTCTTTCTCTCTCTCATCGACGATAAAGCAGAATCTGGTACATCTCTCTCTCTCTTTCACACACTTGCTTTCTCTCTTGGTCTTCCAATGGGTGAATGGTTTGTTGAAGCTTTTCCTTTGTAGAATCCGTGTTTCGTCTTAATATGCAATTAAGTTAGGCTTTTGTTACCCGGTTAAATCATCTAGATAGTCCAACAAAGTGCTTTCTGAAGTATAGTATCTTGAGTTTCCGATTTTGTTACAAAATTCAACACAAATTTTATCAATTTGCTTCGGCTGTTAATTTAGTCGGTTGTTTTAAAATCTTGAAAAGATTAAGTTGAAATTAGATCTAGTTGACCCAAATGTTCATGGAACATCTTCTGTTTTGGAAGGAGGAACTGGGGAGGTACAAGTGTAGTGTTGTTAAGCACTGTTTTTTTTTGGGTACAAAAGCTTCAATTTCATATTGATTTGAAGTTGACAAGTAATTTTTTTAATATCCAGAGTCAATGAATAGTTTTGATTTAATCTGTAACTTCTTTTGCCCAAAAAGTTTGACCTCAGATCATTTACCTTCTGGTTTCGAGGGACGGAAAGAGAGATGTTTCCTTTCTTTTTAAAAAGAGGGGGGGGGGGGTTCGGTTGGAGCGCTTTTCAAACCTAATTTTGACTTAAAAAGGTCAGTTTTTTAAAATCATAAAGTTCAGAATAGATTGAAATTCTTTTGGTTTTAGTGTAGGGCCGATTGCTACTTTAGCATCTATCGATCATCAAAAAGGTAGTAATGCTTAGGGAGTTGTTATATGCATCCTTTAGGTCAAAATCAGTCATTGACAATGTAAAAAGGGTTTGATATTGATGGGTGTGAGGAGGAAATTAGTAGAGTATAGTGCATTTAACAAGTAGGGAGGGGTGCATTTGTCATAATCCTTCTGGTTATTGTACTGAGTTGTTTCAACATTTCAATAACCATGATCCATGTTCTTGATACTACAAAGAATACATAAACCCATACTGTCATGGTCACATTTGAACATACATGGCCATGTCAGGTCCGGCTTGTTTGCTTCATAAGAGGTCCTCCCTTCATTCCAATTAAATTCAACACACTCTATTTTTGGTTTTCTTAGAAATATTGCAATTTTTTGGGGTAAAGTTTCAATCTTTATTTACTTTTTACCCATTAATAACCATTACTTAAAATTAGTAACTTTGGCTTTGGGCCAATTTTGTCCATAAAGGTTCCTAAATAGTCAAAGATTTTTAATTAACTATATGTGCCAAGCATTATTTTAGGTCTGGTAGGAGTAATACATACCACGAAAAGGTTGTCCTATATCTGCTTCTTCATGAATTCTTCATTTTGTTCCTGAACTTCGCTATCCAGTTCTTAAACGACACAAGTTTTAGACATAATTTTTTTCTTTGAATTACTCATCTTTTTAACTACAGGAGCCATGCCTGAGGGTATAACACCTGAAAATCTAATCAACAACATTATGGATACACTATCTGATAAGCATCAGAAGCAGAATTCTGGCTCATTCTTCGGCGAGGAGAAATCACACACAGTCACTGCTCAATTCAATAAGCTCTTTGGGAGACAGAAGCCTATTCATCATATCTTAGGGGGTGGCAAATGTAGGGTTCATCTCATCTCTTTTTTATCTTATAGTGATGGTAATCTGTTTCTTCTAAAATGGATTTCCCTTCATTTTCTAGCTGCCGATGTGCTCTTATGGAGGAACAAAAAGATATCGGCAAGTGTCTTATCCGGAGCAACTGCAGTTTGGGTGCTTTTTGAATGGCTTGACTACAATTTTCTTCCTCTTGTCTGCTTCGGTCTGGTTATATGTATCATTGGTCAGTTTATTTGGTCACACCTATTGAACAGGTATCCTGGTGGAAACATACACTACTTCCCTTCCCTTCATCAGTTTCCAGAAGGAGGTATCCTGAGGTCAAATGAACTTTTCACATTCAAAGTGATGTGGGTTCCTTTACAAGTTTAACACCACTTCTTTTGTAGGTTCTCTTATAAAGTAGAAAGCATTTGTAAAGAAGTCTTAAATAAAAAAGGAATCCATGTCAATTTTGTTGTTGAAATCAGTCTCTTTGACCTCAAAGTGAAAGCTTTTTATTTGGGACTTAGATAATGTGCAATGACAGTTTATTTCATTTACATACTCGAACAAAAAGATTTATATTCACTTATATTCTTTTCTGTTATGCAATTACATCACTAATGTGCAATGACAGTTGAGATGATTAACTGATGCTTAATGACCTTTATTTATTTATTTATTATGCCTTTTAAAAATCACTGGTGCAAAGCTTTACATTAATTTTTGGGTTATGATCTCTGCCCGGAAGCAGGTCCCCACCTCGTCTAGTTCTGCCCGATGAGCTAGTTGTGAATATTGCTACCTCAGTAGGTGGTGAAGTCAATCATGCTTTGGGTTTCCTTCAGAATGTTGGTTCTAGAGGGGATATAAAACAACTTGCAACTGTATGTCTCAACCTGTCTGCTCTTTTCGACTTGTCTGTTATTCTGCTTTTATGTTGGTAAATAATATGCAGTGCTGTAAAAAATCATACATTTTCCTAGCTAGTACCTAAAAGAATTGATGTTCCAATGGGATTGGATTGTTTAAACAGAAGTTCTGTTTTTTCACTTCTCAAATACATCACACTTTTTTTTCTTTGCCTTTTTTTAATGGAACTGTCAGAAACCTCATCTCACGACCTAAGAGTTTTAGAGATTCACCAATACCAGTGGCCCCATTGGCCCAGAAGGCCACTTGGTAAAGATGTCATATTCTTCTCTGAATAACTTGACAAGCATTTTGTCGACTGATGTCATCCTAAGCATGAATTATATAAATAAGAATATCGAGCTGGTCAGAGATGTTATGACGTCTTTTGTTTTTGTTTAGGTTGTTGGGAGCTTGTTAGCTGCGGCAATAATTGGAACCTGGTGTAATTTTTGGACTGTAATCTATATAGGTAATATTTGCTATCCCTCTTTTCAATTTAATGCACTATATAAGTTTCTTGGGTTAAAGAACAAATACTGAAATTAGAATTTCTTTAATATCTCATCTTAATATGGAGGTAATATAGTTAATATTAATGAAGGAATTGACAAATCACATCCCATGTTTACATCCAACATATAGATCAAATCAGCAAAGTAACAGGCTTGTTACTCTGTGGTGGAAAATTACAATTTTTCAGTACCAGTTTAAGCATAATGAATATGATATTGGGTTGCAAATTGCTGATAGGAGATGCAAGATTGATATTGGCACCAACCCCGTGCATAATTCTGTTTCGATTCCCTCATCAATATGCTCAAGAGCATTAGTCAATATCACCCCCTATCGAATAACAGATTTGCAATTTGTGTTTGTAGGTTCAATGGGTAACTTTAACATAAAAGATTGTGGTAGATTATTAAATTTGAAAAAGTCTGATAACCATACTTTGGATACAATGACAGAGCTGCTAAATTGAGAACTATGGATGACTTATGAGATTTTTGAAGTTTTTCGATAGACATGGCAAGTGAATAACACATATAATAATAGGCTAAAGATGGCAGAGGGCTTGCAAATTTTATAGTTCCAATGCTACGGAAATGATACTTCATTGCTAACCTCTTTCCAATCTAAGATAATATTTAAGGTTTTTTTTACTCACTACCCCACTACCCACTACATGTGTGAACATGGAAATGTTTCTAGTTTGAAACCATGTGTTTTCCCTTGTTCTTTACAACTACATAATCCGATGAAGGATAAGTTGAAACTTCTACAAGTACTGACATCTTTATTGGATCACTTAGGCTCCCTAATTGGCTTGCCGAGTCAAATAAAGGAACTAATTTTGGAACATCGGGATACTCTGGATTAACAGTATTTCAAATTTCCCAAAAATTTCATGAACAAGATATTCTAGTTTTAATTCAACACGGGAAAGGCAGAGAGGGAAACCTTTTTCAAATTGCAATAGCTCCCCCAATAATTTGAATTTGGAAGGTTCTTGATATCGTTTATGTACGAACATCTTTCATAGAAAGAATCTGTTTCCTTGGATTCAATATGAGATCTGTTATTTATTTATTCATTTCTCTTAAGGTTTTGTTGCTGCCCACACTCTGCCCGTTGTGTACGAGAAGTATGATGACCAAATTGATAGCGTTGTATACAATGTCCTAGGAAAGCTTCAGAACAACTACAGTAAGCTGGATTCTAGCCTGCTAAGCAGAATTCCGAAGGCAGCAGGGAAGAAGTTTGCATAATTTTATTTAAACATGTTGCAAACATTATGCAAATCCAGGTCTTGTCACTTTAGACTGTGTATGGTGTATTTATCAGTGGTTTGCTAATAAATCAGTGTTATTGTGATGCTAACTTCGATTCTGGCCCCGAAAGGCTCCTAGACTATATATTACTTGATTGATTCTTGGGTTTTGATTTATCAGTAACAGTTGCTTCTTTTTTCAAGTATATATAATATTTTATATACGACCTCTAGGGAGTTTGACCCTACTGGTAACCCAGGTATCGCTGGGCCAATGACCCTTTGGTGTAATGGTTAGATTAACCAAAATCCGACTGTATGGAGGGTATATCAACTTAGATATGAACCATTTTCTCATATCAGAAGAATATTTTTCAAGTTAAATGTCAAAAATAGAAGATTTCCTGGTAGGTTACAATTATCAAACATCAAATGAAAGTGTGGATCTTGATGGGGTTGGCTTTGTATTTGAACATGATGTGATGGTGATCAGTGGTAGGATTGAACTGAGACCTTTGCTTGTGGTCCACCTTGAACATATACAAAACTGCACTCAGAACCAGGTTTGATGACCTTAATCCATTCTGGAAGCTCATATATGTTCTTATTTTGAGTTGGAGATAATCCCCATAGAGACCCTGATAAGTTTTCAATTGCCAACTTCAAATCTGTGATTGGTTTTTCTGACTTATTCTTGATTGTCACCTTGTGCCTATAGTAGGCGATTCTCCCAACCGTCCACGAATCTGTTATCGAGTGAAAGAATTCGACTGGCATTCCTACTAAACAGAAACACCACCACCCAAGTAAGTTTCTCTTCGATTCTATTATATTTGATCATATATTATAAAAAAGTTTCTCAAAACACACCAGGCTTTTCGTATGGTTTTGCTGCCGTTTTAGGGTGCGGATCTGCAAAATTAAAGATCAAATATTTGAATTAGAATGCATGTGCTTGGTAGAAATACAATGCAACACCCCATAGCCCAAAGCAGCAAGCTGACCCGATAACCTCCCAAACAACAAGCTCACAAATTTAATTTTCCATCCATATGGGACGGGTTGTTACATTTAATAGACCAGCTTGGTGCTTCAACCACTGGTTTTGTTTGATTATTACTCACTTTGATTGGTTTGGCCCTCGGTTGGAGAAGGTCTGACTGCTGAGTTTGAATTGATGCTATGTAACTTGGAGAAAAGTCCTACAAGAGGAGCAGTCCCTGATAATGTAGGCTCTGTTTGTTCGTAATTGGAACGATCATCATCAAAGTTGTCGTTCTTGTCTGGTCCACCAACAAGTCCACCATGGACAATGTTTGGGTTCGCTTCTGGGCGGTGGTACCATGCATCAAAACCTTGAACACAACCGACTACGGAGTGGAGGGTGGATATGGAGGCAATGGAAGCACCCCTATGGTGCACGTGAATCGGGTAGTTTTGACCATACCCGACTATGTAACTCATTGACTTTGGGTTTTTCCCTAGGATATAATCCGCCTGCATAAAACCCGTCTGTTAACTATGTAAACCGAGTGCTTGAGTTCTTATGAAATGTGGATCGGTTGGAAAACATGCCTGGGATTGAGCAAAAGTTAGGAGTTCATGAGGTTGAACATTGCCATCAGGACAAGTTAGGACCGATTTAGCTGCCGAGAGATAGTCTGAGTAGACGGCAAGCAGGAATGCAGCTGAGGCTGCGTATTGCATGTTGTTCCAGTTATGCAAGTAGAGTAAGCCCCCTGTACCGGAAGAAATAAGCACATTTCAACATTAAGGTAAATTTTGTAAGATATGTGGAATCCCGTTAGATTACTTTCAAAAGAACTCTTAAAGATAGAATAGAGGTTCCAACATATATAGTCTTCAAGATAGATTGTGTAGATAGATAGGGACAAACCAGGAGTCATAGGCGCGTTGTAGCCATCGTTCTTTTGGTGGCAAGCACATGCAAAGTAGTCGGCTTTCGCCTGATACTGTTTCAACGTGGCGGTATATGCCCCACCATTTCCGTCCATCAACACCTTCGACAGGAGAATCTGGACACCCGCATACTTGTTATCCCACGAGAATTCCTTGACCGCCCAACCAGTGCCACCCATGGTGGCAGCATTATCCACCACGTATTTCAAGTACGATTCATCCTTGGTTGCTCGGTACAACCATGTAGCCGCCCACAAAAGTTCATCCTTGTAATCAAAACAATCCCGTTAGCCTTTAGGTTTTGCAGCGAAACCCTACCATGGTAGCAGTAGACGGAAATAGCAACTTACTGAGTAACCAGATGATGTGTAGAACTCTTTGGCGCACAGGATTGAATCTGTGAACAGTCCCCTAAACCGATCAGCGAACCAGAAAAGCTGCATTTTGGGAAAATAAAACCGAAAGTTACATCAAAACCACCCGAATGAAGTGATCTAAGAACTGGGAAGTGATCGAAGAATCTGTTTCCTACCTGTTTAGCATGCACCAAGAGCAAATCAGAGTAAGAAGAGTTGTAAGGCCTAAATGCAAGTGAAGCGGCGGCCATAGCAGCGGCAGTTTCACCGGCAAGGTCTGATCCCGGATGTTCGGTATCCAATTTATACGCAGTTCTTGGCGTAGTCATGTCTTCTGCTCGCTCCCAACAGTAGTGATCCGAGTCCCCATCACCGACCTGCACCACAATTTTCTCACCTTTTAGGTGACCAAACTTCCTATTTCTCAACAGTGCAGTTGTGGTAGGAAGGAAATTAATGTTGCAATGGAATAGATTGTCATTTGTGACGGGTTTTGAATCGACGCACATGATCTCATAGTGCATTATCTACGTTAGAATATGTGGAATCCTATTAGATTACTCTCTAAAGGAATACTTAACGGGAAAAAGGGAAGTTCCAACATATAGAGGAGAAATGATCAGAGTCTAGCCGATGTGGAACTTCAACACGCCTCCTCCAACTGAGGCTAGATGCTACAGTTTGTCCCAGAGTGTTCAGAGGGGGATAGATGAGTACAAATTAGCCTAAAGTATGGAGGCTAAAGTGATAGATTCTGCTCTGATACCATGTAAGGGTATGTAAAACCTCGTTAGATTACTCTCCAAAACAGTGGAAGTTACAATATATATACCTGTCCCCAAAGAACATTGGGTTGAGAATGAGCTTTGATGAAGTAATCAGTACCCCATTTGATGGCATTCAAAACATGCCCCATCTGGTTGAGATCCATCATACTTTTGCCGTACTCGATGGCGCCCCACGACAACATTGTGACACTATACGCCATTGGCAGCCCAAACTTGACATGGTCACCAGCATCATAGTACCCTCCAACCAAGTTCACCTACATATATATAATGTACAACCATAATAGCGCAAAATACACGTCGACTAGATATACTGATTCGTTTGTATATATACGTAGTAAGCATCGTGTGTGAGTTAAGAGAAAGAGAAACTGACCTTTTGTTGGTAACCATCGGTGAGACCAGAATCGCCACGCCATTTCACCCGTTGGTTCCCGGGTAACTTGCCGGACCTTTGTGCTTCGAAAAACAACAAGCTCTTGTCGAGAGCATCTCCGTAGTTGAAGTTGAACCCGAATGCTGCATCGATGATGGTCAAAGCTAAGACGAAGGCGGCGAAAACCCGTCTGGAATTCACCATGTTGATGAGTTTTGGAGTGGATGAAGAAGAAGGAACGATGAGTGTTATATATATAGATACAATTATATATATAGAGAGAGAAGATGTAAGAAAGGTGGTCGGGTTCACGTTGAGAATGAAGGTTAGAGCCTCCCACGTCGTGTTTGGTACTTCTTCCTTATGATTCCCCTTAATTCTTTGGACATAGGATATATACTATCTTTGGTTTGACCAAATCATATATATGTATAAAACAAAGATTTGACCCCTTATATATACATATATTTGTGTTATCATGCAATCCTTTACATTTGTACAACCAATACCAATTCAATCTCAACCGTCTATTTGATTTGATTTGATTAATGTGTAATTTTATAGAAGTTTTGATTGTTTTCTAATATAAAATATTGATCATAATTAATGAACCCTAGTTATCTTCTATAAATGTTTAAATCATAATAGATGAACTCTTACCATTTCCATAAATATCTCAATTGATTGGGTTGTATTGCTTGTACAAATGTGATGTATTGCATTTGAAACGTCCTCTTCAAATGCAATCCATCACATTTGTACAACCAATGTAAACCAATCAATTGAGATGTTTATAGAAATGATGAGAGTTCATTTATTATGATTTGAATATTTATGAAAGATGAATGTAATTCATTAATTATGATCAATACTTTATATTAGAAAACAATCAAAACTTCTATAAAATCACGTATTCATCAAATTAAAAGGATGATTGAGCATCTTAAACAATCACCAAACAATTATATTTTATTTTGCACTATATCATTAGAGCCTCTTAATCATTCTGACCACTTAATTATTTTGCATTAAACCATTTAACAACTGACAAATAGCCCTTAAATAACATTAAAATCACAAAAATGGTAAAAAAAATCTTAAATAACTTTTATATAAATAAATGAATTTTTTGGATTTTGTTATTTAAAGCATCATTTGATGAATTATTTCGTCCATATTTATTCTATTATTTTCTTACTTGATTATTATTTAGATTTGAATCCGATTATATATATATATATATATATATATATATATATATATATTTAGTATATATGAGGAGCGTTCAAATGAAAACCACCCTCATTTGTAAAAACCGTACAAACCATCCTCATACGTCAATTTCATTGTTTAATCTTATGAAATTTTTTCATGAAATTGTTTAATTTTATGAAATTGTTTCATATAATACTTTTTTTTGATGAATTTGTTTCATATATGGTTATGAAATTATTTCATATAATATTTAATGAAATTTTAATGAAACTGTTTCATGTATTTCTCTAAAATTAAAATAACGAAGATTATAATATCTATGATTAACACCCTCCACAACAAAAGCGGTTAATCAACCTCTCATAATTACAAAAAAATGAATAAAATGAAAAGTTATGATTGGTTAAATATGGTTTTCACGATTTGTACAAATGAAGTGGTTCTTATTTGAACGCTCCCCTAGTATATATAGAAACATTTATATATAAGTATAGTATGTAGGTATTGGGTGTTTTACCCATCTAGGAATGTTTTTTAGCAAAAGAAAATTGTATTTGGCAATGGATGGTATTTGTGATGAAATTATTAATATCCATTTAATTTGGTATACAATATAATATTTGTACTAAACACGCATATTGAATACCATTCATACTCCAATCACCATCCCTCAACCTTTCACATCAACACAACAACAAAGTCTATGCTATATCCAATGGTTGTGACCTTGTTTTCACGTTCTCGTAAAATGGAGATATTCTCGTTTCAATTTCCACCTATATATATATATGTATATATAGGCTTGGGATCATTATTTTCGTAAGACTTGTAAGACCATTTTTTTACGCTTGAAACTTCACAATAAAACACTGTGAATGTTTGGATTTTTTTTTTACTTTCACAGTGTTTTGTTGTGTAGTTTCAAGTATGAAAAAATGGTCTCATGAGTCTCACTAAAATAGTCTGATCTCACATGAACTCAACTATATATATATACACACACACACACACACACCCACTTGATCATGTGAGGCCGGACTATTTTCATGGCCATATTTTTACACTTGAAATATCACAGAAAAACACCGTAAACATAACCTTCACAGTGTTTTTACTGTGAAGGTTCGAATTTTTTTTACTGTCACAATTTTTTACTGTGAAGTTTAAAGTGTAAAAATATGCTTCCACTGGTTTCACGTGAATCCAACCCTATACACACACACACACACACACACACACACACACACACATATATATATATATATATAGTTGGGTTCCGATGTTAATGAAAATAATGATGAGAAGGGTAAGAATGAATCTACATCCTTGGATCAATCAATGTCGAAGAGAACCACTAGATCTAACACTAATGAAATACACTCGATCAATTCCTCTCAAGTGTAATTCATCGGTTGTTTTGGAATTAAAAGTAATCAATGATCCAAATCCATTCTTACATTTCTCAATTTAACTCTTATTTTCACACAAATTTTTGTGTGTATATATATAGGCAAAGAAATCGTGTGTGAAACAGAGTTAAAATAAGAAGCTTAAAAAAAAGTCTGAACACTTGATCACTTTTAACCTCATGCCCAATTGATCTGGTGCATCTCGGTGCACTTCATTAATGTTGACATTCAATTAAGATTAACCTAATAGTATAGATCTCTTCTTACATTTTTTATCATAATTTTTCTACTCATCAGAACACAACCCTATATATATATATATATATATATATGTATTTTTTAGTTTAGATGTGGAAAAAATAAAAATAGAGAGGATTTAAAGGTAGGTGGTGGTGCATTAAAGGCATGATACAAACCCCATTTTATACATTCCAACTCATCATCAACGCCTTGTAAACGTTGCACGTGGTTTTCATGGATTTCCAACACTCAAAAATATACATATTTTTGTTTATTATATAAATCCTACATTAGCTTCTGTACAGATCCTTTTGTGATCACGTATGTTTAAATGCGGTGATTCCGGGCTATCTGCAAAACAGGTGGTCGTCATAAGATTAGTCGGCTCGCATAACGAGTTGGATATTCAGGTTAATAAAAAAAAATCCTACATTTACAATCATTAATTTAAGAAAAAAGATTTAGTAGTTGCCTGGTTGGTTTTTTATTTAGCTTCTGTATAGATACAATTGTCCTGTGTGGACCAATATATACCTATAGATTGAGGATGCTTTTTTTAAAGAGTTTTTTTATAGATGGAAGGAGTGTGATTTTTTAACTGAGAGAGATAAGTTTGAGAAAAACTTAGCTTTCCACATAAAACTCTTCCTAAAAACTTACTAAACAAGTCACTTTCGAAACCATTAAGCTACTACCAAACAGTAATGTATAACTAATCGAATAAACTATAAATTCTTTTAAACTAATTAAACTGTTACTATACAGACGTTTGAGAGGAAATAACATAATTTATTGCATAACAAATTTAACGTAATGTACTAAAGGGTCTTTGGCCTAACGGTATGTGAGTCTTTGGGCTAATAAGAGGTCAATAGTTCAAACCTCATCAAATATTATATATTTAAAAAAAAACTAACGTGATTTTAATTTTTTGTTTTAGACATGTTATTTAAAAATACAAAACAAGTCATAATTACACTTAAATATTAGGAGTTCGGTTATGGTCCATTTTGATAAAAAGTTCGTTTATTGTTAGAAAATTGACTGAAAAATGCATTCAACTCTTCAACTAAATGGTTTACGTTCACGAATTAGCCACCAAAATAAGACATTGTCCAAAAAAATTCATCAAACAAATTTTTTTATACGTTCAAAATTATTTTTTGGAGAAAGAACGTGAGACTGGTTTGGCTGGGACCGAGACTGGTTACATCAGGACCGATTACGAAAAGAAAATCAAGGACTGGGAGCGGGTTTTGGCCATCTCTAATGGTGCTAAAGGTCAAAATTTTGAACTTGTAAAACGCTTAGACCTTAATAATACTCAATTTAAACTACAAGGGTGGTGTTTGATTGGTTTGAGCTTGGCTACAAAGGTCAAAAGTGCATGGAGGTTACAGGTTCAAATCTAAGAAGGAACAAAAATCCCTTGTGGCCACGGAGGTTCAAATGCGGTGACTTCGGACTACCTGCAAAGCAAAACAGGTGGTCGTCCTGGGATTAGTCGGCTCGCATAACGGGTTGGATATCCAGGTTAATAAAAAAAAAACTCAATTTATAATGCGGGGTATTTGTGTAAAAGTACGAGACCTTCAACAATTCAAAATTAGGCATGAATATAAAAAACGAAAGTTTCGGGTTCTCTTTGAAAATTTAGGGGACGTTTAGCAAATGAATAAGTGTTTATCCGCAAGAGTGCCACCCCCACTTACCTTATCGGTTAAGATTCTTGGCCATCAAAATGGATCTGTAAGATTCTTGGCCATCAAAATGTATAAACTACAAAATATTTATTATCTCCGCCGATATAAATTACATTATTATCTAACGTAATTAAAATTGAATGTATATGATGTAATGCATATAATTAACTGATAACAGACAAAATTCGCAATATGTAAATATATAATTGAGAAAAAAATTGAATACCAATTGATCTTTCCACAAACCCTAATTAGTTCAAAACCAAGCAGAAATATGAAGATTTTATTCCCATAATATTTTAAGCTGTGAGTAGCAACTCATTCGATCGATAATTTGATACACACGAATACGGTTTCAACTTTTTCAAGAAACCGGCTTCAAAACGAACATTTTGCAAGCATGAGAAGCTACGGTAGCCGTTAGGTTTTCGACAGGTCTTTGCCTCAAATTCTTGTGCTGCATTAAGTATCCATCTATTATTAGATCACTCTCTAGAAAAAGCTGTTGAGGAGAGAGAAAGGACTGGAAGGTTCGATATGGAGACTTTTCTTTTGAGAAACCATGAAATTGTGATAACCTTGAGAACTAGTGTATCATATGTTATTTCATATGATTTTTTCTCATCTAAGATTATGATTTAAAATATTGATCTAACATATATTTGTTTTATAATGTGTTTGTTTCAAATGTATTTGATTCACGGAGTGAAACTTTTTAGAATGTTTGTAAAACAAAAGTTACACGTAAAAGAGTTTCACATTGTGAACCACATACATATGAAACAAAACATTGTGAAATAAACATATGTTCATCAATTCGTTAGATGCTAGTCTTGGATGAGAAAAATCTTGTGAAACATTACCTTAAGATAAAAGTTGTCACGATTATCACAATATATGGAGGTCTCAAATGATTAAACTCATTCGATATATATATATATATATATATATATATATATATATATATATTAAAAAATGAAAAATATGATTGATAGAACAAGATAATATATAGGAAACTCAAAATTGACAAAAGTGAAGTGTTGGAGTATTTCTATTGTTCGGTCATGTCATATAGGTCTGAATTGAACATCGACTCATGTTGTGATCTTCTACATCCTAGGTCTTCTTGTTCCATCATCTGGCCCCAATTCTTGACTAGGGGGACACCAAAGGACTCTGCCCTTCCATCCTATATATATGGGGTTTTTTTAAAGTACCGTGTAATTTGTGAGAAATCCGTGAGATTCAATATAAACCACAAATTAGATTAACTTAATTGGTAAACTAGAAAATTAGTAATTTTGGTAAATTTGAATTAGAAATTTAAATAACAATTCGATATTTTACAAATTTTCTACCTCATCGCATTAACAACATAATCTTAAAACAATAAAATTAAACCTAACAAGTAACCTAGCACGGTGTGAACATCAGACAACCTAACAAATGTCATAACACATTGTGAACACTCAGTAATCTAACAAGTATCAACAAGTAACCCATTGTAATGACAAGTGAACACACTCTACATATAGTGTGAACACAAAAACACCCCAAAAAACATATCATAAAAAAAAAAAATTATATTATGAGTTGACGAAATTATCTTTTATCTTTTTATCTAATTAATACATAAACATCATTATTTTAAATTAGTGGCTCACCTTAATCTCCCGGATCTTATAAATTCTAGAATTCTCATTTGATTAAGCCTTTATATATGTGTTTGTTTGTGTGTGTAACGGGGAAAGATGTTCCAGATTACACAGACCTTAGTTTTGATACCATGTAAGAATATGTTGAATCCTATTAGATTGCTGAGCCATTGAGGAGAGAAGAGGGTTTTAAGAAAACATGATAGAAAGTGTCAGTGCCTAACCAATCTGGGACTCTAACAGATAAAATGACGATAGGGAAGCAAATGAGACTTACAAGCCAAAGGTCTCTGGCGACCACGGCTGTGTTTGGCGGAAGTCCTATGTCGTCCCAATGGGCTGTGATCGGAGCACTTGCAGGACCACGGTTCAGCAGAAGTACTACTACTCTATAATTGGAAAGGGGTCCTGCCCAAACCTGCCAAATGAACCAAATCAAGCCTAGTCTTGGTGCATAACACCAGCATACGGTTAACTTGAAGATCGGTTCAGTGAAGTACCTCGAGATCGCCTTCCATTCGCACCTTTTTGGCCTGAACCCCGAGTCTGTCTGCGGAGGTATAAACATTTGATCAAAAGAAAACCATACCAAGGCTTAACATTCAACGTTTTAAATCTCAAAATTGATAAAGAACTGGCTTCAAATTTGACGTAAATGTGAGTTAGTCTACACCAAATCGGACATATTTCCAGGACAAAGAAGTATTTGGATGTTAAACCTGAAAAGATATTTGGCTTTTCAAGCTTAAAATGTACCAAGCCTGTCCTTTAAAATCAAAACTAGCAGAATTGTGAGAATATGTGGAACCCCATTAGATTACCTTCCAAAAGAGCCCTTGAAGAAACAACCAAAGTTCAAATATATATTGAGGAGAAATGGTTCAGACATGCCCCCTCCAACATAGCCTAGATTGTCCCAAAGTGTCTAGAGGGGGCTAGACAGGTGAAGTGGCTAAATAAGTATAGATTGCCTAGAGTATTAGACCTTGGCTCTGTTACCATGTGAAAATATATGAAACTCTGTTAGATTACTCTCCAAAAGATGGAAAGAGAAAACATGTTCCAACATATATTAAACAAAAATGGTCAAAGTCTAGCTGATATGGAACTTTAACAACAACAAACGCATGTTACCTTGATTAACAGCAATGACCTCCTTGTTTCCTAGGATGTCGAGAGTCTCATTCGCGACATCTCTAACATCACAACCGATAAGAAGCGGAGCCTGCAACCATTCATGAGCGTAAGTCTGAGTAATTATTGCCTTTAATAGTCGAACAAAATTCGTAAAATGGCAAAGCATTGTACTTTGGAAATGGCCCATATGCTAAAATGGACTATATATTCATCTTTCGTCATCCCTCCATTTCCGACCTCGAGCATATCTGGATCTGTAAAACACAAAACTCTGAATCCGACCCTTTCGGGTTTGATCTCGAAACCAATTGGGAACAAAGTAGTCACGAATTAATTCAGAAAAGAACAAACCATTCCAACCACCAGGTCTTGCATAATCTGCATAATACTCGTTCATATCTGCTATATAGATCATGCTGTACAAGATTTCAAGGAATGAAATAGAATTTATAAAACAAGTTGTACTTTAATATGAATGCACTTAAAAAGGGTGATTTTGGTATCTCAGACAGTTCAGGAATGTACAAAACACAACCTTGTTATTCCATATTTGGTGCGACAATTAGACTATTGAACATGATTGAGTGGGACAAAAATGCATTTTTTCTGTCTCACCAAATTAGATGGAAAAATATGGGACACAAATGTTCTCAATCTCTCGTTTCTTATGCCTTATCGCATGCATCACCTAAGTCGCTGCCCAACGGCCAGCGATAAGGCACTGCCTGGTGCCCACCTCTTCAAATCGCTCCACACACACCTTAAGATCTTTGGTTTGGAGAATTCAAGCTCGCAACTGGACACATTGATCTTCAATCCATCCAGTAAGAATGTTTTGAACTCTTTTTCTAGCATTGATAATTTGATATGGTATTTGGTAAGATTATGGTCATTGCCGGACCCAAGAATTTTTCTGAGCAGATGCACTTTAAGTTAATCAAAGGCCAACAAAGTCGAGGTTTAAATTCAATTTTAGAGCCTTGCGTCACTCTGTTATGATAATCACTTCGTTTAGTGCGACATGCCTTGCATCACAGTAGTCGCTTAGTGCAACAACACTATGGGATGCCCTTTGTGTAGTCAGTACTCCGTACTCCATACTGTGGGGCATTGTGTCGATTTGTTACCATATATGTTTACAAATGAAACCAGACCTTGACTTTTTGAGCAAGACGCAACAACAACATATTAATATTTTTCTTAAATAAATATGTTTATGACATCATCGACAAAGGAATGATAATTGATTTTTAAGTATTATCAAAAAATTTAAAAATAAAAACTCATACAAAGTATGAATTGTTAAATTTAATTAATTTTGTTTTTTTTAAGTTATTTCGGATAAACATGTTTTGTCATTAGAACGAGACAAAAATAAATTTAAAATTAATGGATAAATAGAAAGAAAAACACTAAAAGAAAGTATTAAAAAGTAAAATTGAGACAATATTAAATGAAAAAAACTAAATAGTTGATTGGTAGGACTTTGTTATTTCATTGGTAAGACTTTGCTATTTTATAGTTAAGTTCTTGAATTCAAATCTTTTGCTTATATATTTGTTTGCTTTTATTTAAATATAAAAAACTAAAAATTGTTGTCAAAAAGATTTAAACATATGATATTAAGGAATTCAACTAGTATCCCAACCATTCCAGCAATCCCACTCTCCTGCGTCAAGTTCTGTCTAAAAAATATAAAAAAATACACTTCAAAATTAAGTGGGTGCAGAGTTACGACTGGTAAAGTATTTCCATTACGACAGGACGATCGAGCGGGTGCCTGTGCACCTGCACCCCCGACTCTATGAGTAGGTCCCCTCTTGATTATGGTTTTCAACTCTTTTTTCTAGCATTGATATGGGTAGCACCTTATGGCAGGACACTGCTCGTGGTGGGCAGCGATTTAGGTGGTGCGTGCGCAGAAGACTCAGAAGAGACGAGAGATTGAGAGCGAGGGTAGAAGTGTGTATGATAGGGGCAGAGGGCCGTATGTATGTTGGGCTGTGATGCATCATAGGTTTTGGTGCCCTGGGTGGTGTCTCACTTCACCCAGCATATGGGCCGGCCCTAAGTTTCATAATCTCTTATGGGATTAGAGTCAATTTCTACCATTATAACGAGACAATTTGTATTTGTCTAGTTTAACTAGGTTCCAAACCCTTTAAAAATTTGTATTATTTGTTTCTTGGATTAGGGGCATTTTTTTGACTCTCCGGCCAGGCATCCAAAACCATAGGACCGGCTGGCTGCTTACCTCTCTCTCGCCAATCCAGTCCATGCTAGTATTGTCCAGTCCTGTTCGTGTACCAAACACACCCTAAATATATGTAACATCCCAAATCCAAAGCAACAAACTGACCTAATAACTTTGGATCCAACTTAAAACCATGGTGGAAGTTATTGGTAGCTTACAACTTTGCGTTTATAAGAAGCTCAAAAATCTACTTTTCTGTCCACATGGGACGGACTGTTACAATATATTGTGCAAAAAAGGCGAAACAAGCATAGCAACTTACCTGTTCCACGAATCGTTGATGTCATTAGTAGTTCTCCAACTATTTCCTACCGTACCACCCCATAGAGCAGGATGCATATCTCCCCTGGCAAACGAATTTGAAAGAATTTAGCACTGAAAATGAGTTTTCATAGCAAGTAATATCGACTGTAAATTGGTTGAAAAGGCGAAATCACCATTCACATAGTGAAAAGAAGATAGGACGGCCTGCGTTCATGAGAGCTCTTGTCATTATTGGGTATCTGCGCGCGTTAGTTAAGATAAATAATATTGTTACTAAAACATACATAAAACTATAAGCATGATGTTAGGACATGAAGGCCATTGTGGGTACCTATAGATTGGCTTTATCCCTTCATTGTTGCAGTTGTCGTACTTCAAGTAGTCGATACCCTATACAAGAAGGCGTTAATTGTCGTACTTTAAGTACTGAAACATAACAAACATATAGTTCGATATAACGTTGGTCAAATGACTGAATTTGATCATCTACATTTGGAAATGGAACCAAAAATGCTTGTGTACTTCAACATTAGAGAGACAGATGGTGTTAGAATATGTGGAACCCATTAGATTACTCTTCAAAAAGCACTCGAGGAGAGAAGGGATGTTCCAACATGTATTGAAAAGGAACAATTCAAGTCTGGTCAATGTGGGACTCCAACACCGCCCCCTCCAATGGAGGGTTGGAGGTCATTGTCCCGAAGCGTTGACACCCTAGGGTGGTAGATCTTGACTATGATAGCATGTGAAAATATGTGGAATCTCATTAAATCTCTCCAAAAAACCCATTGAGAAGAGGAGGTTCTAACATATATTAGGTGGGACTCCAACACGCCCTCTCCAACGAAGGCTAGAGGAACATGGATTGTCGAAGAGTGTCGAGAGGGGGCTAGATAGGTATAGATTGCCATAGAGTGATAAATCTTGGCTCTAATACCGTGTAAGATTATGTAGAACCCTATTAAATTACTCTCCAAAAAACCCGTTAAACAGAGAAGAGACGTTCCAATATATATGAAGGGAGAAATGGTCCAAATCTAGCCAATGTATGACTCCAGCAACCTCAAAAGTCAAACCGTTAAGAAACCAGCTAGAAGCATACCCAAGAAGCGAAAGTTTTGGCATCCTGTTCTTCGTAACCAAGTGAACCGGGCATGGTCTTGCTACAAGTCATGGAACTGCAAAATGGATATAATTAAAAGCGATCGCTTACATAATGCTAATTAAGACTATCAAGTAAAGCAATCGTAAATCTTACCCTGAATCGCCATATATACCAAGCTTAAGACCCTTGCTATGCACATAGTCTGCAAGAAGTTTGATGCCCGAAGGGAATGTCGATTTCCTAGCTACAAGGTTACCCTGAAATTAACCGTTTACATGTTTTGATTACCTTCTGTTATAAGCCGATACCCGTTCAGAAACACTATAAAAAATACACAAACCTTATTATCACGTTTATATTCCGCCCAGCAATCATCTACAATGAGATGTAGAATTGAATTTTGTGATTAGTTCAAAACGGTAGTGAATCAACATAGTTCAACATGTGTGAAAATGCAGTGTTTCATATATATGTGTGAAAAATTGCGAACAGTTTTCCTTCACGCACACAACAAATATGCACATATGAAACAACATTGAATTTTCCCAACACATAAAAACAGGTTTATAAGTTTGTACGATTTATTGGATTTGTAAATGATGGAATTTCATACCTATATTTACATACTTGTATCCAAGTTTAGCAAGTCCAGTTGAAACAAGTGCATCAGCTGTACATGTATAAATCAATGGTTAAAAGAAGAATCTTTATGCCAAGCTAAGAATGGGGTCCTGATTTTGCTCACCAGTTTCTCTGATCACAGTCTCATTGATGTTGCAGTTGAAGTGATTCCAACTATTCCACCTGCATTTTTTTATTTTCTTCATATAAGTTATAATTTAATATTGATTTATTATTATTAATTTAAGCTTCTCTGCTACTTTTTTTAGTTTGTCAAAAAATAAGTGTATATTTTTAAAACGGCTGTCTTATATTTTACCTTTAGTTGTAATATAAAGAAATTCAATATTCTGTAAGGGTAAAATTGTCATTTAGCCAGTACATTACTAAAAACTTATGCCTTTCTCACTGTAGACATTTATTTTTGGATAAAAAGAGTAACAGATGATCAACGACCATCATCAACTGACTGCAACAACTTGTGTGAACAATTGAAAATAAAACACTTAATTGAACACTAAAAAAACCCAACTCCAGCCACATTAAAAACATCTTTAATATTATAATAATAATAAAGTAATATATATATTTATTTATCATTATACTATTATATTAAAACATAATAGATATAACATATAATTAATATTTATAATTAATAAATAATTATCACTTAATTTTAAAATAATTTATTTAGTGAAACATCGTTAAAATCAAAATGACAAATTTTTAGTTCATAAATATTACATTCCAAAGCAAATTAAATTACACTAGTTTTCCAAGTTAACATACTCGTCCCATAAATGTTCAGTTAATGCATTTCGAAGTTCAATATGAACAACCTTATTATTTTCTCTGTGAATTTATGTTATTGTATTTGGTTTATGTTATTATCTTGCCATGAAACTATAGCCAATATTATGGGGTGTTTGGGATTGCTTATTTAAAACAACTTATGCTTCTCTACAAAAGTCTTTATCAACTTATTATAAGTTAGAATGGTTTAATTTATTCAAAAACCTGGTTTGGCATCAGTATAAGCTGTTTATCCAAACACTCAAAAGTGTTTATTACTGATGTCACACCAGAATTAGTCAATAAGTTGTTTTTATAAGCAATCCCAAACACTCCCTATGTTTTTCTAAATTTTTACTAATGAAATTTCATTTTGTTAAACATTATATAATCATACAAATGTTTTTTTTAATGTATATTTAAGTTTCGTCCACCAAAATTATAAAAAACAATTCACATTTTTACTAAATTTCCTTTTTTTGATAAAAAAACTAAATTATTTAAATATAGTTTTATAATTTGAAATCACAAAATAACAAAATTATAAAGGGATACGGTAACTTTGTCCAAATACAAAACAAGTCTCGTGTCGATCACGAATGCCGCCTCAGCCACCGAGTGAGACAAAAAATGCCCCATCACTTTCGTGTCCTTAGAAGCAGGTTCCATATAAGATCGATTAAGATTGTCGATAATCAATTTTTTGTTCAGATATCATCCATCAATTTAGTCATTAATTATGATAGGAAAAATGACACCAACTTTGCATATATATTATTTTTAACAAAACCTTTTACAAAGTTCATTTATTTTTTAGTATTTATGGAGACTGTTTCTCTTACTCATTGCAGTACTATAATTAGTAAAATGCTTATATATATATATATATATATATATATATATATATATAGAGGGTTGGATTCACGTGAGACCAGCATGTTTTCGTGAGACCCGTGAGACCACATTTTTACACGTAACCTTCACAGCAAAAACACTGTGAAAGTTTAAAAAAAGTCGAACCTTCATAGCAAAAACACTGTGAAGGTTTTAAAAAGTCACATTCACAGCATATTGCTGTGAAGTTTCAAGTGTAAAATGTTGGTCTCACGAGTCTCACGAAAACAGACTGGTCTCACATGATCCCAAGTCTATATATATATATATATATATATATATATATTATGGTCTCATTCAAGAGAGAACTGATTATTTTGTGGTAACTGTGAGATCCAATCTCAACCATAAATCAACGGATAAATTAGAAAATTAATAATTATGGTAGTTTGAGTTAAAATTATAATTAGAAGACATTTTAGGTATTTTAAAAAAACTTCTCTCTCCGACTTCCAATCTCCGGCCTCCGGTGAACATTAATCCGGCAGGTACCAAGTAATCACAAAGATACACAATATGATACCCATTGTGATATACTGTGATACCATTGGGATACCAACTCAAACCTTAAAAATAAAGATACATAATATGATACTCATTGTAATACACAATGTAATACCCATTGTAATATACTGTGATACCGATTTCACAGGAGGCCGGAGATTGGAGGTTGGAGAAAGGAAAGAGGAGTTTTTAAAAAATACCTAATATGCCTTCTAATTATAATTTTAACTCAAACTACCTTAATTATTAATTTTCTAATTTATCCGTTGATTTGTGGTTGAGATTGTACATCACAGTTACCACAAACTAAACTATTTTGTCCTTATTTAATTAGGCCCATATATATATATATATAATGCAATTAATTTGTCATTATGATTAATTATTTCGTTCGATACTAATTAAATTAATAAATATAAACGAATTGATTGGAAACAAAAGGAAGATGAACTAAAACGAACCCCATGGGAGGAGAATCTGCAAGGCCATTGGCAAGAAGAGTACGTCTCTCCGGTGAAATATTCTTATAAATGCGAGCTTCTCCTCCACCTCCACCTCCACCTCCACCTCCACCTCCGGCAGCCACCTCCACCGCCATTGTCAACAGTAATAGAAGAAGCATAATCACCGGCAGCACAATTGTTCCGCCGTTTGCCGCCATGATCTCCGTCTCAGTCTCAGAAGACAGTGGAGGAAGTCTCTAGACTGGTGGTAACAAATTAAGAAAGAAGAGAGTAGAGAGAGAGAAAGAGAAATCCTTTGGATCCGTACCTTTGAATTCCAAATGGTGATAACGACTTTCCCCAATCACCAATTTGGGTAGCATATCCATATCATGCGAGAGGATCTGTCTAGAAACACGTGAATTCGTTATCAATCTTTTTCATTTATGTAATTTTTTTTTTTGAAACCGTCAAATATTGATCCAGCCGCAAACCAAACCCACTCATTTTAATTTTATTGAAAATGAAAATGAGGGGAATGAAAATGAAAATGAGAATGAATTTTTATTCGTGTTTAATTAGGAATGAAATTTTGGGCTTTTAGAAAAATAAACTCATTATATTATAAAAAACCAAATAATTTCTTTATTTAAATTCTCTCATTGGTTACTGCTTAATACCTTTAACCAAACACTCGCTTAAAATTTTTGAACGAAAAGATTGATTACCTGATCTCATACGGAAAATTTCTACCCTCTGCTGACTGCCGAGCGGAGGCATCTTTCCCGGATAAAAACTTGTTCGATTAGTTTGCATCGACTAATAGATATCTTTCTATTGTACTTCCTCCGTCCCAAATAAAAATCATATAATTTAAAAATGTGTAATTATTACACGTTTTAATTAACAATACGATAATTTTTTTTTATCGTTAATGATATAATTAGAAAATAGTAAAAATAACTCTCCCACAAAACCAGCCCATGATCTACTCAAAATCAACGATAACAGCTAATAAAAATGTATAAAAAGTCTCAAGCTTAGGCAAAAAAAATTAGGTCTAGCAAGCTCGAGAATGGACCCAGGCTAGGCCTTAGAGTCTTGTCAACTGACTTTTTTTCATGGTCCCGTTAAGGCCCAATGGAGCCTATTTTAACATTCAAAGCTAGAGCCTAGCAAGCCCCAAGCCTACGCATAGGCCATGTGATTAAAACCTACGTTTTAAATGGTGTGAGTCGTGGTATGACGGTAAAGTCAAGCTTCAAGCCATACAAGTTATGACAAGGTTGTGATGTTTTTCAAGACGTGCCTTAAGACGGCAAATATATATATATATATGTGTGTGTGTGTGTGTGTGTCTTGAATAATAATGATTAAGTTATTAATAATTTAAATTCATATAAAACGATAAATAAAAGAAGAATCGCGAATTGATAATTTGATATTTACAGAGTTTACAAAACTGATATAAAATATACAAAGGAAGTCACTATCTATAGTCCATATTTTGGTAATCTAACAACAAAATCAAGGTAATGAAATTAAAGAACAACAAATGAAAGTAATCGAACAATATTTTCGGATGTTAAGAAGTAATTTASGGTTTTTTATTTCCCCCCATTTTGTTGATCAAGTATTTGATCCGTAAAAACTATAAAGTTATACTGACATTTACCCCTATTCGCATGGTAAAATTGCAAATTTTCTCCCTGGCCATTACACCCCATGGCGCGCCATAATGAGCTCCACGCTTATGTCCATGCCAAAGGGGTTAACGTGGTGGCAAGGCTGCGTCTCGGTGCCAAGGCGCATTTTTTTGAACATTGATTAAAACATACATATGATCCACATCATCTAAATTAAATAATCCATGTAAGGCAAAGAAAAAGGGGTCGACCAGTTTAAAAGGTAAACAAAGCGGAGCAAAACCCGACGAACCCGCCCTACCCGATCGGATGCATACCCGGAAATATCCCAGTTCGGCTCTATCCTACACTCCCCTAAATATGATTGGATTTCATCTCCATCAACCCGACTCGTCCAATTGGATTGCTATAATGGGTAAAATTTTCAAATTACAATRTTTTAATAAAAAATAATTTAAAAGTACATTATTATCATAAGAAAAATATAAATGTACAATGTCATAATATATATTTTTATATAAAAATAGGTTGCTATTTGGTGCGTCCACACTTATTTAAGTCAYATTCATACTTCTRGTAAAGTTGTGTATTTTTGTGGGTTGATACGAAATGTAGTATATATTTGCCACCATAAGCTTCCGCACGTTACGAAATAAGATCGGCTTTCGGTGATCTCAAAGCACCAATCCTCCATCGATGACGAGCACCTGCAAGACGTATGAGATCATATGTTCACTAGATATGTTCGTGGGAACGTCTATTATATCACATGTTTTCTCTCTATTTAAAAGTTATAACGGGTTCGATGAATATACTTGAGAAATATATTTGTCCTTTTAACTATGAGTATCCGGGCCAGCTTGTATGCACCTCCATTAATATTATGTGGCCCTAAAGATGATGGTCAAGAAAATCCCAAGTGACCATGAGGACCTACAGAGAGGAGCCCCAAGGTCTAGCATTTATTTGACTGTTGAGCTGGCCTTCGAAACGTGTTAGCCAACATGGGACTATTGTTTTGTTCGACATTTTCTTGCATACGACCAAAACAAAGTAACATATAATGAAAGATTTAGGTTTCGTAGAAACCTGTCCAGTCATGTAACTAGCCGCGGGACTGAGAGCCAAGAATTCAACGAGCCCCGCAACCTCTTCGGGTCGGCCATATCTTCCTGTAAATCGAATTAGAAAACAACCACTTTTACTATCGTTTTACCACAAAATTCACCATTTTACAATGTGCTTTGTTCCATGTTCTCATACTTACATACCTGAACAAAACCAAATCAAAAAAACCCAATATATTCCACAAAGAAGTACGGAGTTCAATAAGAACATGAGAGAGAAAGTATCGATGAAATGGTACGAAAGAAAAATCTCACCTAAGGAGATTCTCTTCAAGTTCTTTTTCAGCATGTCTTCCCCGGTAGCAGTCAAATCAGTTGTAATATATCCGGGGGCAACAACGTTCACCTATCATAGACAGAAATAAATTTACGATAGTGAGAATATGTGAAAGTTAACCCATTGGATTATTCTTCAAAAGAGCCTCAAAGGATATATTGAAATGAAATAGTCAAAGTCTAGTCAATGTGGGATTCCAACACGYCCACTCCAACTAAGGCTATCTAGACGGGCAGAGGTACCTTGGCTCTAATACAATTTAAGAGAATATGTGTAAACCCATTCGATTACTCTCCAAAAGGGATTTTTTGAGGATATACTGATATGAAAAAGTCAAAGTCTAGTCGATATGAGAMTTCAACATGCCCACTCCAACTGAGGCTATTTAGACAGACACAGGTAACCTCATTTGATTACTCTCTAAAAAACGCCTTGATAACAGAACAAAGGTTCCAACACACACACACACACACACACATATATATATATATATATACATACATATATAAAAGGTTGAGTTCCGGTGAGAAAGAGAGTTAAGATGAAAAACATAAGAAATGATCACCATCCTCGGATGCATATTAGGATGAGATRCACGGGGTCAATCCTCATATCAAACACAATTCATGGGTGGGTTGAGTGAGCACCTTAACTCTCCTTCTCACGCGATCCTTCGCCTATATATATAGGGTTGCGTTCCAGTAAGAACGAGAGTTAATGTGAGTAGCATAGGAAAGGATTCGACCCTTGATCACCTTTAATATYAAACTCACCCATGAATCGCGCTTGTTACAGGGATTGATCCAGTGCATCTCATCCTAATTTACTTCTAAGGGTGGAGATCCCTTCTTACACTTCTCACATTACCTCTCGTTCTCATTGGAACCCAACCATATATATATATATATATATATATATATATACATACTAGGTTTGGACCCGTGTATTACACGGGTTAATGACACAAGAATACGGAATTCTATTGTTAGACTGGAAAATAACTCTGGAGTTAACTCTGAATAAGAGGAATTCAGAGTTGTCTTCTAAGTCTAGAAAGTATCTACGAGCATAACTCTGAGTCACAAAAATTTTGATTTCTTATAACTCAKAAACGTAACTTTGAAAATGAGTTTAGAGTTGTATTCTAAGTCTGGAAATAAACTATGTAACTAAGTTTGGAACATAACAATTCAGAGTTATGTTGTAAGTCTGAGAAATAACCAATATCTGATGACTTCATGTTGATGATTTGTATCAATAAGGTATTAATATTCTTTTAATAATTATATAAATTAATTAAATTCACATTATTAATTAATTAATTAATTAATTAAGTA